CTGAATTTAAAGACTTGTTTGAGGCCACACAGTGAGCACGTTTCCAAGCCTGGATCTGAACCCATCTACTGATTCCAAGCCTGGCATTCTTTACACTGTATCATATGCTACCTTGCAGAAGACTGCTGGGGTGGCTTTTTGTCTGGCCCACTCTAAGTATGGTATAGTAGAAGAGATGACCTGGGGGTAGAGAACCAGGGCTGGAAACCCGGTTTTGCCCCTTATTATCAATGTGACCTTGGACAAATTGCTTCCCCTCTGTGGGCCTCAGCTTCCTCTTCTGGAAAATAAGGAAAACTTATCAGGTCATTGTCCAGCCCTAAATCTAAGTCTCTCTGTTCCAGGATTAATTCCACTCCCTGATCTCTGTCTTTTATACTCCCTTTGGTTTCATATACTTTGTACGGGATTTTAAATTGATCCTATAAAATCCTATAATAATTACTATCACAAGATAATAGAATTATAGATTTAGAGCTAAGAGGGTCTTTAGAAGTCATCCTGCCTACTTCACTCACTTCACAGATCAAGAAGCAGGCCAAGCAAGGTTAAGTGATTTATCCAAGGTCACTTAGGTATTAAGTGACAAAAATGGGATTTGAATCTAGGCCCTCTGACTTAACAATTCTCTCTCCATTGAACCATATTCCCTATGCTGCTTTGTTAATAGCAAAAACCAGTTCAATTTTATATAGCCTTTTCCTGACAGAAATCCTAGGAGGTGTATTATCATACCTTTTTTCACATAGGAGGAAAAAGTCTCAGAAAGCTCAGCCTAGGTCTCCTGATTTCAGGTCCAGGACTCTTTCCACCATACCATTCTGCCCACCGAGGAGTATGGGGCTGTGAGTGGGGTGGAGGGCAGGGGGTACATTTTTTTCTTTCTTCTAAACCTTTCCTGGAAATTTTGAAGGTCTCATGCCATTTCATATATTCAATAAGTCACGCTGAGCTGAGTGTCTGTTCCATGCTATCCCTATTATTGAACACTCTGGGGGAAATACACATAGGAGTAAACTTGCCTTGAGGGCATTTATGGGATGGAGCCCATATGTATTGATTCCTTCTCAGGTCTGAAAACTCCTCCCATCTGCCAAACATACAGCTCCTCCCTCCTCTCTATAGCCCTACTTGGTTATTGTATTATTAATTTGCTTTCAAAGCCAAGTATCCCAAATTGGTCTCACCTTGACCTTAGCCTGGGCCCTTCTCCTCCTGCTTTATTCCTCTACAGTCTCAGCTGTCTCCTAAAAGAGGCCAGAGTTGTTCCAGGTTGTAAATTCAGAGAGGCTTGTAGCTGATCACCCATGAGATGGAATTTTTGCTTCCTAATGGGATTGCTCTGGTATCTCTCTCTCAAACCCCATGCCTCCCATTCTCAGCTGTTAACTTGGCCTGGACAACTCCCATGTTGTCCAAGCCAAGTTAGGCATGGAAGTGAACTGGTCTGACAGTTCTGCCCATGTTATTTGGAGCAGACCACCAATTCCAGGCTACTGAGGAAGGCAATCTGGACATCCCTACCCAGGGCCAGCTGGGGCAATGGGGCCTGTGGTTTGTGGTCTGGGGGAGAGGGGGAAGAGACCCCCAAAGCATACTGCCTTAAGCCCTTTGGGAGAGCAATCTGTGGGAAGGGAAGCCTACAAGGACCTACTCCCTTTCACATTTTCTGCCTCAGTTCTCCCACATTAACAGAGGCTTCTTACTAATGAGCTGTTTAAATACTCCTCAGAGGCCCCTGCTAGATGGACAGAGCTATCTTGTGGGCACCCGATCCATAGAGAAAGGCTTGATAAAAGGAACAGTCATTCTCTCTCCTGGGATCTTATCCAAAGAGCAATTATCTCCTTGGTGTCAGGCTGCTTAAAAAGGAGTGGACTGAAACAATCTTCTACAGCGACTGGAGATTGATTGGCCATTTTCTTGGGATGTAGTGAGGGTGACAATGATTTTACAGGCGCTTAAGAGGTGGAGGACGATCCAGATGGTGACTATCAGTTTTTTAACACACAACAGTGAACAGTGGCCTCCCCAAACAGCCACTGGGTCTCTTCTCTGGTTGGTCCCCCCTTCTCCTGGGACTCAGAAACTCAGTACAGGGAGAACTCAGTACAGTCTTGAGTGGGGAACCTGAGTGGGGTTCCTGGACTCTAGTCCAGAAGAGTTCAAGGCAGGGAAATGTGGGGAGAGGGAACCAGTGTTGAGTTATTCTACTCTACCTCTTGGTAAGTCCTGGAGTCAGGGGGGTAAGGCTTAGGGTACCAAATTCAGAACAGGAAGGCTGAGACTGGGCCTAGCTGTCAGAAGGCCCCCATTGCTCCTACAGTTCTGCATTTCTTTCCTTTTGGGGTTTTATCTTGCTGTAGGGCAGGTGAGTTGAGCAGGCAGGAAGGCTTGAGGTTACCCATGGACATTGAGAGGGTGCCTTATGATTTATGACAAACTCACCTCAATTTAACCAACACTTACTAAGTGCTTAACTTCTTGCAAGGGATTCTTCTAGGTGCTGGGAAGACAAAGACAAAAATGACCCTCAAGGAGCTTATATTCTACAAAACACTTTCTTTGCAACAACCCTGTAAAGGATGTAGAAAAATATTATAATCCTTATTTGACAAATAAGGAAGTTAAGTTAAAGAAGTTAAAGAGCTGTGCTCCAAGTCACCCCGCTAAGAAATTCAGAGGCCAAGAGACCATAAGCCACCTCTGCCCTTCCCAGGGAAGCTTCCTGGGGGTAGGAGAAACTTCCTCACTCCATCCAGCCTTGCCTTGCCAAGAATCTTCTTGAAAAGGTCTAGCAGGAGGTAAAAGCCTAAATGAATGTATTCAGGAAATACTAAGAACCTGCCATATGCATGGTCCTAAGCTGGGTGCTGGGCATGCCAAGAAGGGCCTGGCCTTACCCCATCTATTTTTTTATTTTTTATTTTTTTATTTTTTGGGTAGGCAATGGGGTTAAGTGACTTGTCCAGGGTCACACAGCTAGTAAGTGTTATGTGTCTGAGGCCGGATTTGAACTCAGGTCCTCCTGAATCCAGAGCTGGTGCTCTATCCACTGCGCCACCTAGCTGCCCCACCTTACCCCATCTAGTCAGGGATCCTTTTGAGGCTTTAAGGGTTTCCAGACTCTGCTCCTTCCTGCCACTCAGGGGCATTATCAGAAGTGGAAGGGAAGAGGAAGAAGCATGGAAAGGCTCCGCCTGGGAGCATAGCTCCTATGTAATGATTTTATCAGCCCTGGGCTTCAGACTGCACTTCTGCAGAGATAGAGCCTTCTGAGGGAAAGGGTATCAAATGTACAACCTCTGCAGGAGATGATCTAAAGCCAAATACACTGAACTCTGACATGGCTCAAAACACCTGGAGGAAAGTGAAGATGGAAGGAGGGACGAAGGTCCAAGCATATTTGGGTCAGAGCCAATTGATCCCCAGGAGGGGAGACAAAATATACCCAGAAAGGTGCAAAGTGGGAGGTAGATAAGCCTTGGGTATAAAACAGATGAGGGGAAGTCAACCAAACTGGGAAAAAAATCCTTGAGAATCAAGATCAAAGTGATGTTTCCACAGAAGCCAAAAGATTTCATTCCTGAGGAATGACTCATGAGAGGTTCCTCTTTGGCACAGACAGGGCCCCACTTCCACTCATAGTAATGCCAGGAGCCTGGGGTCTCCACCCTGAGCTGTCCTGCCTTCTGGGCACAGATATCACAAAAGGGAAGATTCTTTCATCTCTATTTATGGGGCACTGGCATGATGGGCTAAGTTGTGGGTCCCTCCATTGCTGGTAGAATATTTAGGGTTTCCCTACAGTGCCCTGCATTCTTTTTCAACCACAGTTCAGTCATGCCCAATCCAGAAGAAATGTAGATGGGAGATTTTATGAAGATCTGGGCTCCCACATTTTGTCTGATTTCATCTCCGGTGAAACCACTAGACACCCACTCTGTGCAACCAATTAAACCTGTGGTTTTGTGAGCTGGAGGATCCTGGTGACTGAATGCTCTATCTAAGTGGCAAGCAGCCAAATACCCTGGTGCAGCTGCCTGCTGCTCCCTGGAGAGACAGGATGGCCCCAGGAGAGGAGTCTCAGAACACTGGCCAGAGTAGAAAGAGAGAAGAACTGGCAGAATAGGACAGTATCTTCTCTAGGGAAAAAGTCACAATGGGTGAAGAAAAATAACCCTGTGGATCCAACAGAAGCGGGCTCAAGCTAAGGCTACTGAGAGGAGAACACAGCTAACGAATCATTAGCCTACAGCATTCACATTCTCTGCCCTCTTGACCACCCCTCAAAAGTGCTTTCAAATCTAGTCGGGAAGCTACCAGTGAGACGCTGGGAAGGAGAGATGGCAGATGTCTTTTCTACATTCAGAGGTCCACAGAAATGTCCTTGGGAGGATGTAAGCATTACTTTCCAACAGTAGTTTAATGCAACTTACAATTTCATTAACTTTTTTAAGCAGCTATGTCACACTGCTGATTCATATTAAGCTTGCAATCAATTAAAATTCTGTACTGGATGTTGAAAGAATTGGCAGATATCTAGGTGTGGATCTCACTTTTGACATGTACTTACTGTATCGACTATGGGCAAGTCCTTTAACCTCTCTGAGACTCATTTCCTCATCTATAAGATACCTGTAGTCCCCACCACTCAGGGATGATGTGAAGATTGAATGAATTAATGCGCATAAAGTGTTCTGTAAACCTTACAATGCTATATAGACATCAGCTATTATTATTGTTATCATTCTTTGCATAAATTACTACTAATCCAGGGCTCCTTCATCCTGTGGTTGTTTTTTTTTTTTTAATTAGAGGAACTTACATTTATCTATATTAAAATTCAATTTGTTAGATTTGGTCTACATATATGGATATGGAATCACTGGGAAAATTTCTCTCCTTCCCTATAGTGCACTCCAGTTTGACTTCTCAGCAGTAGATGAGCACAGTTCCAGTCACCTCCACTGAGCATCTCTCATCTGCTGCACCACCACCTCCACCAAGGTCAGGAGTGAAAAGCACAGGAGAGAACTGATGAAGTCAGCTGCACAGACTGCCTGAGTCCAGGGGTGAGTATTTGGACTGGCAGGAAGCCAGCATTTTGGAGAAGAGGAAATGCTAGTAGATCTGAGACCACAGTTGATAGCAGCTTCTTGTTGGATGTCCCAGTGGCTGACCCCAGGGTAGCAATGTTTACTCATGGCCTTCCTCCCCAAAAGCTTGAGCAGCTCTCTAGCCAGACACACACTGTTTCTCCTGGGAACTCGTCGCACCTGCAAAGCAGAGCAAGGGGATTGTATAGGGACACCACTGCTACTATTCTCCCTCTTTGTTGGGAAGGCTGAAGCATGGGTCAAGGTGGGAGAATAACCCCTAAGCAGGAAACCCCTCCCTTCAGAAAAGGCATCCCCTACATGAACAGATCTATCCTCCAAAACATTCTAGGCCCACTGAGCCTGGGAGCCAGTAAAGGAGAAAGATGAAACAGCCACACTGTATCCAGGTACTAAACAGATGCTCTGGCTGGAGTCTACTGACAGAGTTGCCACTGAAACCTGGAGAGCTAGACCTAGGTTGTCAAACTGCCATCTCTTTTATTATTAATGCCAATCACTTCTATAAACTTGTGTAGCATTTTGTTGCTGTTGTTTTGCTTTTTTTTTTTTGGTGAGGCAATCAGGTTTAAGTGACTTGCCCAGGGTCACACAGATAGTAAGTGTCAAGTGTCTTTGTCTGGATTTGAACTCAGGTCCTCTGGACTCCAGGGCCAGAGCTCTATTCCCTGTGCCACCTAGCTGCCTTGTGCAGCATATTTTTCAAGTGCTCTCACATTAGTTCTTGGAGCCTCACAATAACCAGCATGGTCAGTATTGTGTGAAAATGCTACATCTGGAGCCAGAGGACCTGGGTTCAAATCCTGGCTCTACCATTTACTAGCTGCATGAGCATGGGCAAGTCACTTAACCTCCCTGAGCCTCAGTTTCCTCATCTGTAAAATGAGAGGGTTGGACTACATGACCTCTAAAGACCTCCTAAGATCAAATGAGATAATATTTGTAAAAATTTGGCATATTTGGCACAGTGCCTCCTGGCACATGGTAGGTGCTACATAAATGTTTATTTCTTCCCTCACTCTAAGTTCCTTTCCAGTTTTAAATCCATCATCTATGAACATTGTGAGATTAACAGAGTGATTAGTATTTTTCCTATTTGGTATATGGGGAAACTGAGGCTGACTCAGAGACTGGCAAAACTAGGACTAGAATTCTAAGTCCAAGTCTAGAGAAACTGGATAAAATTTGGTTTAAGCAGCCATGTCACACTGCTGATTCATATTAAGCTTGCAATCAATTAAAATTCTGTACTGGATGTTGAAAGAATTGGCAGATATCTAGGGGTGGATCTCACTTTTGACATGTACTTACTGTACTGACTATGGTCTAGCTCGACCCCTTTCACTTTAAGACCCCTTTCAGTTCCCTGGGAACTGAAACCCAGGGAGGTTAAATCTGACCCGAGGCCATGCAGGTGGGAAGGACCCAGTACATTTAATTGCAGAGCCAGCATTCTTTCCACTGTCCCACTCTCCCTCTAGGGATGGCTACAAAGGACCCATGAATACCCCAACTTCCCAGCTCCTTAGAGACAAAAGGGATCTGATGTGACCTTTTGTAGTCTCTTCTGGTTTAGGAGAGTTTCTGGCTCTTCCTTGTCTTCTGAGGCCATCTCTTCACTGACTCTTTTGGAAACGACACACTGGCTACTACCCACTGTCTAAGCTTCCCTTCTCCAAAGAGTCTCCAGCTTTTTTCTCCTTCCTTCCTAACTTGTCTCCAACACCACTATTTTCTACTGGTTTGGTTTGATACATGCTTTGAAAAGTGATCACCTTCCAAAGTCACTGAGCTAATTTCAGTAGCTAGCACACATGCCCTTTTTCTTTATTTCCTTACACATTAAAGAGCCATTGCTGGGAGGATATTTGTAGAACATAGCTACAAGATGTGGGATTTGTACTTCTGTGAAACCACCTGGCATTATGAAAGTCATGATCCCTTCCTAGCCAGGTCTAGCAGTATCAATGACTGGTATTCCTAGGGTATGATGACCTGGAAGGAAGGTCTTGCCCTACCCTTGTTTCTCCTGTTAAGTCACTCATACCTCATACATTTCCCTCACCCTCCTTTATTTTTATTATCATGAAGGGTAGCGTCTGTGTGATGATTCTTAGGTTTCTTTTTATTGAGACTACACTTCCATCTCAAAACTACATATAAGTTAAATATACTGGAGAAATAACAGCATCTTTGATCATCCTCAGGTAGGACTGTTATGCTCTGACCCCTCTCCCTACGTTGGATAGGGCATCCAATTCCAAACAGCAAAAGGTTTTCCACATGGCTCATGGGGATGTGCCCTGAGTCGAATTCTCTTCCATCAGCAGGACTGGTGTGGGAAAGGATTCAGATGGAGACGATTGGGCTGGAATAGATCCAGGCCCTCTATCCTCCTTCCTCTTCTTTATCCTAGCCCATGGAGGAGGACTGCCAAAAACACAGCTCAAAATGGAGAGAGTCTGTAGTAGGTAATCTCTCACTGGATTTGGGGTGAAGATGAAGTACTTACAAGTACAGCTTTGGGGGTATGCTGGCCACCAGAGTTTTGTAATATGTCCATTGTTGGCTTGGCACTAGAGTAACATGGCTCAGTGAGCCAACTTCACAGGATTACCGTGTGGCTGGCTGTGTAGATGTATAGTAACTGTTAGCCGTTTCTGTGCAAGGCTACAGGAGATGGACAGCTGAATGAGGGAAGTGAGAAGTGTTGTGAACTTCCAAGTGCCACAGAGAAAGGCTGGGCTGAGCTGTAGGGACTATATATTTCCCTACCCAGACCTTTCAGGGCCTTTGTGGGACAGGTAGGGAAGTCGCCTTCTGGGCTGGGGTCCCCTGAGATTTGGCAGGACCTCTGTGAGAAATTAGCTGAGCACCTAAGCCAGTGCCTTGTGCATAGTAGGCACCTAATAACATGTTCAATGAACTGAACCAAGGCCTTCCTGACAAAAGAAAAAAATAAGAGGCTGAGAGGATGTGAACCAAGAAAAGTGAAGTGTGGCTAGGGAACAACTCTTCTCTTTGCCCTCCTTTACCCTTTATTCCAGGAAGAGTCGGGGTCACTAGGGAACGCTTCTAGGGTCCACAGTACAAACGGCTTCTCCAAGAGCAGAGGAGGCTCTCACAGAGCTGAGCTAAGAGTCTAGCAGGCACAAACATGTATTTTTAGAAGCATCACATTGTGCCACTTAGAGAAGGAATATTTCCATGCAGGGACTTTTCCCTCTTCCCTTATCTCAAATGAGGTATTAATAGCGTGAGAACTCTAACTCACAAAACGACTCATTCACAGGATGCCTCATGGGGTTCTAGAGCCCAATCTGAGCCATCACCCATTCCCAATATTGCACTGAGTAAAGAGGCACTCTGCTGGTGAGGCTGCCCAGGGCTGAGGGGCATGGCCCTGGCATGTAGAGTCAGGAGGCAAGAGGCCACATATCCCTCTATAGAAAGGAAGAGTCTATCAGGACAACAGGTTACTACTTCTGTGCCTAGGACACTGAAAATACACACACCATGTATTTGGGAGACGGACTCCAAAAGGTTTTACAGCCAACGCTCCATTACCTATGAGTGAATTATCCATTCCAATTTAATCCAATAAACACTTATTAAGTGCATTCTAGTACAATAATAGATAGAATTTATATAGTGCTTTAAAGGTTTGCAAAGCATTTTACAAATATTATTCATCCTCACAACAATCCTGGGAGGTAGGTGCTAATACTATCCCTATTTTACATATGAGAAAATTGAGGCAGAACAGATTAGATGACTTGCTAAGGGTCATATAGCTAGTAAGTGTCAGAGGCCAGATTTGAACTTAGATCTTCCCGACTCCAGGAAGTCCTGTGCCGACCCAGATCTAGTGCTCTGTCAACTGTACCTTTGAGCTGCCTGTGAATGACCATGTGCTAAGCACTGGGGATACAAGGACAAAAGCGAAACATTCCCAGCTCTTAGACAACTTACCTTCTAAAAGGGGAGAATGTACACACACAAATATATGCAAAATAAATACAAGTCTAGCAGCTGGGGAGATCAGGAAAGGTAGGACTTCAGTTGAGTCTGGAAGGGAAATCAAGGATTCCAAGAGGTAGTGGTGAGGAGAGTGTGCATGCTGGACATGGGGGACAGCTAATGGAAAGGCAAAAAGATGGGAAATGGAATACTATGCGTGAGGAACAGGAAGAAGGGCTAGACCCTAGAGAGTGTGTGTGTGTGAAAATAATGTGTAACATAGCTGCAAAGGTAGGAATGGGTCAGATTGGGCAGAACTTTGTCAAAGAATAGAGCTTACTGAGTAAGACACAGTTTCATCTGTGCTTTAGGAAAATCACTTCAGCAGCTGTGTGAAGGATGGGCTGTAGAGGGAAAATCTTTCATACAGGGAGAAAAATGAGGACGCTACTAGGGTGTTAGCAATATGAGTAGAAAGAAGGGGATAGATGTGAGAGATGTAGAGACAGAATCAATAAGATTTGGCAATTGTTTGGCTGCTGGGGGTGAGGGAGAGTGAAGAGCTAAAGATGATTCTGAGGGTGTGAACCTGGGTGACCAGAAGGATGGTGGGACCCTTCATGGAATTAGGGAAGTTAAGAAGGGGGATGGGTTTGGGGTGAAAGATGGTGAGTTCCATTTTGGATGTGTTGAATTTTAAGATGCCTATGGGATAACCATCTTGAAATGTCTAGTAGGCAACTGGTGATGTGGGACTGAAGTGCAGAAGAGACTATGGCTGGATACACAGATCTGGGAGTCATCAGTATAAGGATTATAACTGAATGAGGTCAACCAAGTGAGAAAATAAAGAGGAGAAATGGAAGCCTAGGACAGAGCCTTAGTATACACTCTTAATTTGGGGTCAGGATATGGCTGATGCCATAAGTGGAAAAAAAAAAAAGGCTGAGGAGAACCATAAGAGCAGTGTTACAAAAACCAAGAGGGGAATGAGT